AATGAGATTTGGTTATTCTTTTCTCTAGGTAATTTACATTTATATTGAATTAGTGGCAGGCAGGGTATATAGAGGGAGGGGGGCGGGGGGGAACTTATTATGCTGCGAGATTACAGGCAGATCTCATCGCCATTGTGTTGTGTAATTAAGGCAGTGGAGAGGAGAAGAAAGGGGGCCAGATGCTCGCCGTGCTGAACCTGGTCTCATTTAGAGGACGATCTGCACCAGCATTTAAAAATCCCTTGCGTGGTGTGTAACAGCCCGGCCTTAAACACATCAGAAATCATTAGAGACATGACAGCTTTGTTTGACATATTGCTGTACACCTGTGGGAGAACCTCAACATAAACATATATTTATTTTATTCATAAATGTACATTTTCTACTACATGGAAGATTGTGCTTTTACTGCAACACTCTGCTTTATGTAACATTTTAGAGGGAGATGGCTCTCTTTCCATGCTTTCAGGAGAAGCTAAAGGGGTTTTAGGCAATCAAGGACGGCTGCATGTACTCAGGTCTAAACAGAGATAAAAAAAAAACATCACTAGATTTCAATTCTCTTTGAATAGACATCTTATTACTGCAGGACCTCCATTATGCCCTGAGTCGATTTCTTTGTCTCAAATGCTTTTCGATTGTGTCAAGGTTGAAATTGGCTGAGTATTCTTGCCATACGTAGTTTATTTTCATGCTGAAAAAAAAGGCGATTTATGCTGCTTTAGTCCCGAACTTCTTTATGTTAAGAGTTTTCAAATCAGCTTTTTAAATAGAATACACTGTTAGAGAAAAGCACCCAGAGGACCCAAGAGAAACGGGACAATTGGTGGCTTTACTCTCAAGGCTCTCAAAGCTACTCGTTCTCTATTAAACTCTGGAAAAACAACTAATCCCAACTTGCATTCATCTGGTGATCCACTCAGCTGGATTAAGCCAACATGTATGTGACTCCGAGCTTGTGCGCTTTGTTCGAAAGGATCAATATTTATGGCTATTATGGGCCGGGTTACCTGGGTGATAAGATTCCTTCCGCTATCAAGTCGCATAACCCATCATCAGTTAATTAACTTCCACAAAGACAATATCAAAGTGCACTGATGATAATGAGATATTATAATGCTCATAAAGGCGGCATTTTATTTTCTGAATCAAGGACTTAATTTGAGAAGCAGAGTGATGTTCTGGATGGTCTCACTTGTCTCGAGAGTGCCTGTCTCCAGGCCTACAATGCAGTGTGAATCTGTAAGAGCTGTTCGATACACAGTCTGGACTGCAATACAGGAGCGTGTAGACATGCACAAACACCCGGGTTAACACCTAAACACACAAAATCTTTGACAGAGAACATCTGCCTTGCTTGCAGCCGGCGGCCGGCTAAAGCCGAAAAGAAATCACTGCTCAGGAGGAGGCTAACCCTACATGACAACTTTAACGGTGGACCAGATTATTTTCAACAGTCCACCTTCGCTTGGTTCAAGACATGTGGTGTCGTGCTGATGTGACTGCACTGCTGAGATACACTCTGTGTCCTTGTTCAGACACGGCCAAAGAGAAACTGGCAGCTTATCTTTGCCATCGTTCATAAAGTGGCCAGCGGCTCCGGTTCGTTTCGATGCTTCACACTAAACTGTCAAGCAGAGAAGGTGTGTGTGTGTGTGTGTGTGTGTGTGTGTGTGTGTGTGTGTGTGTGTGTGTGTGTGTGTGTGTGTGTGTGTGTGTGGTTACACCGGATGCATCTCTCTGCCGACAGGAAGTCATCTTTCATAACATGAGGAAACTCTGGGACAGGAAATCTTGGAATGGATGGATGCAGGAGAAGAGGATACAATTTATTTTATCAAATCATAACTAATAAAACTAATACCGACAATTAAATATATTGATGATTAAATTGAGGAAATTAAAGTTTTCTCATCAAAAAAAATGATTTGAATATAACTTGTAACAAGCTGCTCCAGTTATCCTCCCCATCACTGTGTGGTGTCGTCAGTGTGTGCGAGTCCTGTTCAGGAAATTATCATTTGGCCAGATGATGTCATGCGGTCTTTTGTACACAAACAGTGTCACCTAGTGGCCACATGAGGCTCCACCTTTATATTAAAATGTCTGGTTAATAACCAGGAATTTCACCCCCTCCTTTTTAGGGAAATATCGGAAATAACTAAATAAAATTTAACTTGATTTTACTTACCCTTTACCAAGTCTGTACATGTCCCCTAAAGGAGTGGGGCCTCATAAATGGAGTCAGGAGATAAATATAATTGTCCTGGGATGATTGTCCAGTTAGGAAGTAAGAAAAACACATCTTTGCTTGGACCTCTCACGGTTTATAGAGACGCACATTAGGGGTAGGGGGGGGTCAAGCCAGTAATTGTAGTTTGGACTACTTTTGGCCTAATAAAGTAGCTTGAGAACATCTTCTTGATCTCTTCATCTTGAAAACACATTCTCGCGGTCTTAAATTAAGTTAACCTGAACATACATACACGATGATTTCCAATTCAAACTGTCCGTGAATGTCATTATCTCCATGTCCAAGAGAATAAACGTCCATCCGCTTAGAATTACAAAAAAGACGCTCCTCACAACTAAGGAAATAGCCAAAGAATAATCTTTTTTTTAAGTTGTCTTCAGTCGCAAAGTATTGTAGTGATGTAGTTATCTCTACACACATGGGCACTTGGGCAAAAAAGGGGGTCAAGTTTAAGCCCAAAAGCTAACTCACTGACTCCATGGCGACATTGTAGGACTACTTCGAGTTCCCGAAATGATGGGAACTGTAGTTCAAAATTCACCAACATTATAACTGGTTGTAGTTCTAGCACACAGTTCCAGGAACCAGGAGAGGGAGCTATTGCACCAAAAATATAAATCCTGTTAATGCAACACCTATTCAACTGCTCCCCACAGACGACATGACAATCTAACGCCGACGCATTAGTATAGATCCTAAAATGATCATATTATTTGTAATTAGATTTTGCGGGTTATTTCTGCGGGATGTGTGGTAACACCCATCTACAACACACATCCTCAATTTACTCATCACATTTACAAAGAGGGGGGGAGAGAACATATGAACATATCAGCACTGATGAAAAATAAATTGAGTGACAAAAATACATTAGAAATAGCATTCACGTCATTAAAACACACACACACAACAGTACATTCATTCATGTTAAATGTCATAACTGTAAACTAGCCCAGTCAACACTGCAGCTTGACTCACCTAAGGCCTCACCTGATGTGCCTTCTCTGCTCAGTTTCTCTCACTCCAGACTTGTCTCACAAAAATATGCAGCAAGGCTTGTGTAAATAAACTAGCCCCAAGCACATTCCTCAAGAGAGACACACACTCACCTCTCTGAGCCAGCTGCAAACATATACTTAATGTTACCCTGAACCTGAGCTCATCATGTCTGATATTTAAAAGATAGATGATATACTTTTTTTATTGTCTCCAAATGATGAAACATTTAAATACCAATTGGATTTTCCCAGCTTGAAGATGGCGTCTTGTGTCGCTGAACTATTAAGATACATTTTGAGTCCCTGGTTTGGCTCGATGTCGCTGCAGAGCTCAGGTTGTGTTTGAGGGCGAATTCAAATGAGGTGCACCATCAGCACTTTTACAAGCCGCCCATAAATATGTCCCGATGGGAAGGGCGAAGACTGAGATGAAGAAACATGAGGAAGAGCATGTGAATCCTGTCGTTACTTTCTCACCTGGTAAGTAAAGGTAAAGCATACCTACCGCACATCAAAAATAAAATAAATCGGGGTTCGAGGATACAGGTGTGTCTTTGCTGAAAACAAAGTGAATTTTCCCCATGATCATTTTTTAATTATATGATGAACAGGAACATTTTAGTGAAAGCACACACAATGGCATCAGTGGCCAAGCCCTACTGTGAGTCACCAGGAATTAGTAAATTCAAATAATACACACCGTGAGTATGGGTGAGTGTACAAAAGAAGCAGCCGCTGAGGTTTCCTTTACTGCGGTTGTGTGAAGCATGTTTAGAATGTGATCAGGCACAAGCACACACATCTCATATTAAACATCCAAGAAGAGTGAGATGACAAGAAGCCACTCAAGCCACAGGAAACACAACAAAGACACCAGGTGACTGCAGAATACTTTCCACGAAGTTCCACAAACTTGAAGTTTATTGAACAAACCTGAACTCTTTATTTTGGTTTTTCTTTTTACAAAGAATGAAAAGTCCCCTGTCTGTCCAGTAACAGTGTAAGGTGTTGTGCGGTTTAAGTTTACGGTTTGAGTTGCTGACATTGTTACAGTGAAACTACAAAAGCAGCCTCCTGGACTTCAGCAATCATGCAAAAACAAAAAACAAACATACGGTGGTATTCCCAAAATACACAAACAAATGTTAAAGTAAGAAAAATGCTTATTATTCAAATTAATTAATTAATGATCTATGTCATTCATATTACACACGAGTGAACATGGCAACAGCCAACAGGTTAGCAAGGTGGAGTTCAAGTTAAAGACATTAGGGGTGAAGTGGTTATGCTTTAATCATTCACTTGTTAAATTGGTCAATTGAAAAGAGCAAAAATGACATGCTTAAGTGTAAACATACAGCATCTTGTTTTCCAGTGACAAAAAAAAAAAAAGACAACTTTCACCGCAAAGGAAAGAACTATAGAAAGCACATTCCCAGCGTTGTGCTTATGGCAGAAATGAAAAGTACAATTTAATTTTTGTAGTAAAAATAAAACACCAACAAGATGGTCGTCCCCCCCCCCATAATAATGGAATAAATACAAATATACAAATACTATGACATCTCTCTCACCTCCCCTTGCAGCTAAGCTAAAATGAGAAAAATTGTTCTTCTGGAATGAGATGCAGGAGGACAGAGAGAGAGAGGAGAGACCAACCGTCGGTACCAAACAGTCACTGGGCGAGTGAAAACTGTACGATGGTCAAGATAATTACTTGTTATCCAGTCTTAGGAGCTGCTCCTTACCATTTACTGTTAGAGACTTTATCTGACCATCCTCCTCCACTTCTACCCGCTCCTGGCCGTTCTCCACAATCCTGTAACAAACATCAGGAAGTCAGACTGTTAAAGAGGTCTTAAAGAAACCTTTTTCCCTTTCTTGCTGAGAGTTAGATGAGAAGATCTATTTTGCGTATTTCCCAAAATACGCAAATACACTTGTTTCTTTTAAAATGCTGGACTTTTCATTACCGTTTTGTCGTAATTTTTCTGCCGTTGATGAACTTGGTGGAGGTTGACACAGATTTGAAGTTGCCCATTCCTCCGCCCATTCCTCCTCCTCCTCCTCCTCCTCCTCCACCTCCCCCAACGCCGCCAAAAGATGAAGAAGAGAAGGAAGTGAATCCTCCACCACCCATCTGTCCGAATGGGCTAAAACCTGTAAAAAAAAAAAAAAAAAAAAAAAAAAGAGCACAGTTTCAAGAATAAAACGCAGTAAAAATGGAACAGCATCATAAATTCATGATGTCCATTGTGGAGTTCTTTGATGGGATGTAAGGACCTGAATTGAACCCTGAGAGGCCAGGCCCAAACGCTGGGAAGCTTCCAAAACCAAAGAGCGATCCTCCCACCCTGCCTTGGCTTGCACCCCTCTGGTGACTGTGACTGCCTCCGTAGAAATCGTCAAAGGGGTCCTCAGCTGTGAAGGGAAACACAGTAGAAATTACAGATTTGGGAATGAGAAATTGAGGAGCTTTGTAAGACTTTCAGCTCATTTTCTATATATATATATATATATATATATATATAAAAAATCATGGCAGGTTCTACAACCTTTTTTCAGTTCTTAAAAAAAAAAACATAGCCTGAATTTATTGTTTCTTTCTTCACCTGGGAGCAGCAGAGGCCAGCCGCGATGTGTTCACTTTTTAGAATATGGAGAATTTGTTGCTTTACACTGTGTCACAGTCATTTGATCTATTGTTAATATAGACATATTGATTAGAGCAGCTTTAAAAGGCACAGCTTCTAAAAGTGGTGGCTGTAGGAGCATGAGTTTGTAATTTCTGGAACAATCTTAACTGTCAAAGTGCCCACCACTAATTCCCATCCTAAAACCCTGTGGACATGCTACTAATTGCAAGCTGCCAATCTGGGTCGCCCCAGCAGGATAAGGCTGGATCACTGGCACCATTTGCTGAAAGAAGACTCCTCCTTCAACCTTGAATGTACCGAAGCAGCGACAAGAAAGCTTGACTTGTTCCCTCTGAAAGAAAGCTGTAAATAAAAGTATCCCCTGACCGCTGTTGTAACTGCGTTACTGTCCATTTACCTTGAAGAAGACATAAGAGGCTGCCAGTAAGACGGCAGACACCGTTGGAAGAGAGAGAGAGAGAGGCTGAGAAATGCTTCTTAAACATAATGATTCTGGTTTAATGCGTGTGCACATGATCAGTGGTATATTTTTTTGCATATTCCTTGTGTATTTCTGCAGTATGTCCAACAAAACGTGTGTCAAAATGGTCTGTTGATATCTTATCTACTTCCTTTCACATGTTCATTCGAGAATGGGAGTGGTCTTTCTTGGCGCACAACTAAGCCCTCGTCATCGTGTGAATCTGAATTAGTCTCTACAGTGCGCACACACACACACACACACACACACACAAACACACACGGAGTGACAGATCTACAAGACCAGCTGCTGCTCATTGAGACGAGCTGCTGGACAGACGGGACTGGAGGCCGGATGGGATTTTAAAAACACATTTGAAACTTCTTCTTTTGCGGCTGCCATCTTTCCATCATCAAGGAACGCGAAACCAAAAAGCTTCTTTATTTAGATCTATCCGAGGAAAATCACTAAATATAGAGTTGAAATAAACTTGACAGGACGGATGTTAGGACATATCCTGTTGCATACCAATTAAGCGTAATAAAGGTTGTCCGCAGTCAAAATATAACTTGAACTCGACTCTCTTCAGTATACAAGGACCACTTTAAAAAAGCCAAACCGTGATGCTATGTGCACGGAGAGTAAACAGCAACAGCTGAGCTCCACCACTTCATCTTATCAATGTTAGTAAATACTTTAAAACATCTCCGTTTATAAAAAAAACAATCTGATACAAATGACTTGACCTACAAGTTCTAATTCAGTACCCTCCTATTTTTTAGCACATGTCCAATAACTCATACATTAGATTACAGTTCTTTCAATAACTTCATGTTGTACACCCCACGCTCGAGTGCTCGTATTGCACCAAGTTCTACATGTGCTCCGACACACGGAGACACACACAGCGCACAAACACTCGGCGTTATTACATCTGCTTTTGTTTTAATACGGAAGCTATTTTTGAAAGCATTCCAGTTGAGTGATGTAGACGTTCAAATCCATCCTCTGCCTTCGTCTGAACTCCATATTTAGAGCTACACAGGGTGAACTACACATGCCTCCCAATCAGCCTTTTGCTGAACCCAGACAACCCAGGCCAGACGTTAAAACTCCTACAACTACACGTAATGCAACTACGGACACCTCTGATACAATCAACAGTCAGGCGCTACGAGACGCTGTCGTTATAACAAATGTACAGCCGCTATTCACCAGTATAGCACCTTAGCCAGCAGTGTAACAACATACATGGGTTGTATAAAAAACAAAAAGATACCATCATTTTGCACTTCTGGGGAAAATGGAAAGAGAAGTGGTGGAGAAAAAAAAAAAAATAAAAATAAAAGATAAAACAACACAATTTCCCAAAGCCCATGGGAACATTTTATCTAAGTAACAGACTAAAACCAAATTATAACACACTAAATCCTCTCAATTTAGAAGCTGAAATTGATGAATATTTGGTAATTTTGGGAGAATAAATAACTTTAAACGATTAGTTTCCCTGGACTGATTGATGAATTGTTTCAGCTATGCTAAGATGAAACATGTCTTTGTAAGAACAGATGAAATGGCTAATCTATCAACCACCTTAAACTATGCTTGCTCAGTTTATTTTTTAACTGTAAATTCAGATGCCTTTATGTGTTTAATCTATTTATATGATTGTTATTGTGTTTCTTTTCATAAAGCATGTTTCACGAACTGAAAGAGTATTTTCTAAAAAAGAAGCCGGAGTAAATGAAGAGGTCTAAACCTCGGCTAATAGATGAAGGCTGCGTAGTGAAGTTGAGGTCAACATCCAGCAGAGATGCTCCGTGTTGCCCAACATGTGACATTTAGTGGCAGATGACCCCCCCGAAGTGAACAGTGCTTAGAGTGTTGGAGATGCACATGATGTTCTCCTTTTCTCTCTCTCTCTTGAGCCTTATCAGGTCATCCGTGTATATTTTTGACCAGATAAAATGATGCAGCCAATAATAGCCTTTGCCTACTCTGCACTCTCGTGACTCTCGTCAGTCGCTCTTTCTTCCTACTCTGTGAAAACGACATGAAACCACCATCAGTGCCTCGCCAGAATCAAAAAAACAGACTCACCAAAAAAATTTGCAAATGGATCTCTGCCGCCAAAGAATTCCCTGAAAACGTCATCGGGATTACGGAATGTGAAGCCGCCGCCACCGAAGTGATCATAATGGCCCCCTGTAAAACATAAAACAATAAAAGCTCATAAAATACACAATCAGAAGCAGGTTTATAGATGTCCCCATCACTACAAGTCATAAGAAATACCAACACAATACCAAGCGGTTTGTACTTCACATGAATAAAATGTTGTGCATCCCTAAAAAAAAAATCAAGTCTACATAGACTCAAAATCATACCTTATTTTTAATCCTCATCAGATTTCTCCCCTTCCATATTGACTACTGAAATCTTATCTCCATGGCACTGAAATGAATATTTAGTTATTTTGAAAGTTGTCTCCTTACCACCTCCTCCTCCTCCTCCTCCTCCTGAAAGACCGTCTTTGCCGTATCTGTCGTAAGTGTTCCTCTTGCTTTCTGTTGTGGGAAGAGAAGAACTTTTCATGAAACAGATAAAACAGACCAGCAGAAAGAGAAAATTCCCATCGTGTTTAAATTTAAACCTCAGATAGGGTCACGAAAGTTAGCATTAAATCAACTGCCCTTGTCAACTAGAGTTACCGCCTCGTGGTTCGATGCCTCCGCCAACATCCATGTCTGTGCAAAATGTCATCACTTCCTCATTTGACCCGAGCTGACATTTGTGTGAAATCGTCATAGTGTCACAAAGACCTTGACCTGTGTCCACCAAATTCTCATCAGTTCCTCCTTGAGTCCAGATGGACGTTTGGGGCAAAGATATGCACAACCCGAAAACACATAATGCCTCCAGCTATGGCTTTCACCGATGTGGAGGCGTAAAATCATTTCCAAATGACATCCGACTGCATTTTCTGCATTTCATTTATAAGTTTCACGATCGGCACGTGGACTTATTTGCTGCGAGTATTTGAAAGTGTACAAAGGTGCTTTTCAACGGTCACGCCTAGTGACGCCTTTGTAACCATCAGTGTCTGAACACATTGACAGGCCAAACTGATAACTGGTTATGTCAAACAGAAATTGAAAATGAAAACACACCCCTAAAGAACTCTGGACAACACCCACTCATTCCAGCATAAACAATCCGGACATTACAGTGCAACAGTACCTGCTTCTTGTTACTGGATGTGTGGTACATAGCTACATTTTAGTACATATTAATAAAATGATTGATAACTTTGGTATCAAACTTGTAATAGCATAGACTGTATAAGATTTCTACACCAACATCCTGTTTTAGTAATCCGACATTGGAAGTCCTAACTTACTTTTCTCCAACAGCAGATATGACAACAAATGTCAACTTTAAAATTTGAGGTGCGAATGAACCCAAGACGTCCGTTTAAACATTCAGAGGAACATCGGTCATCACGTTCATATGTTCTTCACTTAACATGGCCACATGACATACGTTCTCCCTCTGCAGAAAGAAACCTCACCATCTGAGAGCACTTCATATGCCTCCGACAGCTCTTTGAACCTTTTCTCTGCTTCCTCCTTGTTGTCCGGGTTCTTGTCTGGATGCCACTTCAACGCCAATTTTCTGTAACTGAGGCACAAATTCAGTTAAAATACTGACGTTTACATCAACACGTGGACAAACACACCATGTATGCCATATACTAGATAGTCCAAGAGGAGATTGTCAGTTCTTAATACAGAAATGCATAACGGACATCCCCCCCTATCAGAAACACATATCCACGTTCAAGTCTTTTTTTAGGACGGAAACCATGCCTACGCCAAACACACACAGACACCCCTGTATGCGCACACACACATCACAAATACATCCCCCCCCCCGTCCAAGCAGAAATAACAAAGACAGCCTGCACTCCACTGACGTGAAGCTCGCTCAGCGGCTTACGCTGCATCAGCTGTTTGTTTCTAAGCCCAGCAGCAGCATCAGCTAGCGGACACACAGATGATGTGGACGAGACTACGGACGGGGAAGAAAAATGGCTGCACACAATCCAGGGATTGACTCCCTTATGGGTCTATAGTAAATCGCTTTTTGTAGTCCACGTTTTTGTTGTAATCTGTGACATCATCGGCTGTCTAAAGCCTGGTCAATAGTCAGCCGGGCAGACTAAGTTGAACAATGTGGTGCCAGTCTTTGTAGTCAGAAGCCTGTATGTTCATTCTCTTGCTCTGAAAACAGCATTACTGGGGGATCATTTCTATGTTCATGTCCAATTTATTCAAAATTCACTCGTTACTTCTGCCGATTACCGGGGCTCGGCGGGCAGACATGTCGCTTCACCAGACGCATCTCTAAATGCACAGACACTAACTAGAGATTCGTTTTATGATATCTGACAGTAAGTTAGCTAAAATCGGATTAATATCGGCCGAGGAAAAAACAATCGTTGATCATCACCTTCAATCGTCGATATACGGTCCGATCGCTCGCTACTATTGTTTGTTTTCCAGGCACTTCCGGATTAGTAAGTGGGATATATTGAAGCTTTCAAAAACGTTTCCCATTTGCAATTAGAAGTTGACGACATGAACACTATTCTCAAGTTGAAAGATAGTAATTACGATAACTCCAATATGACATCAACAAGGCACTGCGAGGATTTGAGCTAAATGAAAAGAGGAAGATGAAAAGTTAAGGGGATCACAAAAGTTATTACGATTCTTCCTGAGGTGGACATGAACGTCGGCACCAAATTTCAAGACAATCAACTCAAGAGTTGTGTATATATTGTATTCAGTGTGGAGAGAAGTGGGTGACTGACACTGCCGTCCCTAGAAGGAAGCTGCTAGCACGGTCAATACTTCAATCAGAGATGGAGGAGAGAGAGAGCTGGGGTCATAGGCTAAAGATATGACTTGTTGATTGGTGTCAGTGGAGATAACATTTGACTCTGGCAGCCAATAACTGAGTGCATAGAGATAGCAGGCGCTCAGCATTCACTATCTCTCTGATACTTGGTAGATTGGATACACCGGTTGAGTTAATGTTCAATAGCTTCATCCTTTCTCACAGGATTTGATGCTACTTAACGATTTGCTGCATTATAACTGTTAAAATAACTTAACTTCTCCCTGGAGCACATGGCTAACTTCAAACAGGCTTATTTAACATATACATTTAAATTCATAGGAAACACTTCAATTGTCAAAAACAAAAAGGTGTTAGTAAGAAACCTGTGAGGATGTATGTTTAACGGAAACTGGCCTGTTGAGTGGGCGATCTGCGTGTGGTGGGTGAGTGTAGCGGGAAGGTATTTGACAGCGGCAAGGTTACAGGAAGAAGAGTGGAAACTTTCTGCATTGCAGCCTCTCTGTTCTCTCTACTTGCGTCAGTTTATACAGCCAGAGGGGGGATTATAATTAACCTTTCACACCCCTCAGAGTGGGCCACATTTCACAACAATACTGGGGGGGAAATAGAGCAGAAAAACACTCAGGGGCACTTACGCTTTTTTGATGTCCTCTTGCGTTGCATTTTTCTGGACTCCTAATGTCTGGTAGTATTCCAGCATGGCTCTGTCTGCGTGAGTTTCTAGTGTCTGTCCTGTGTGAGGGTCCTCTTTGTGGCGGCCTCTGTGGAAAGAAAGTTAAGTTCTGTTAAGACATGTTTGCTTGGACAGATAAAGCCCAACAAACTGCGACTGAGCGTGGCCATGTGTGACGGCCGAGATACCTCCCTTCCAGACCCGAGGGGTAAATTTGTAAAAGGGGGGCGGGAGGGGGCAACAGGCATTAAACAGGGTGGCAATACCCAACAATGTAATCAACTGCACTGAAATAGAGATGCAGGGAAGAGGACAGCTCAGCTAATACAAGCCCAGAGAAATGACTTAATAAGCGGCTGATCTGATCATCCCTCGCCCTCAGGCTGTAAGAGAGAAAATGTGAATCAGGTTTTACTTTTGAAATCAGCCTCTAAAAAACAAGACAGAACAGGTCTGATGAAAAGGTATCAGAAGATAATCAGGTCTTGTTTTAGTCCCAGATTTCCAATTCTTTGCAGTTCTACAACCCAGAGAGGGTAACCTGCACCGACACATCGTCATCAAAGTCATGAGCTCAAAATCTCTTCTGCTCTTTGCACATAGTTGGCTCAGAATACAACAACAATGGCTGCCAACATACGGAGGAGTCTTGATCTAGAGGTTGATACAAAGGACTATCAGACTACTAAAAGCAGCAGATATTTGACCCTGGTGTAAAACATTTCTGCAGAATTCCCTCTCTGATGTAGAAAGAGGCAACAAATATGATAAGGATCACATGACCAATACAGTTGCCAAAATGTCAGTGGCTACCCGTCCTCCAATTGGCAGTTCACTAAACCGCCCCATGTAACGTTAGCTGCAATCACTAGGACGTTAGGCTCACTAGCTCACAACTTAGCATCCGAGGCTAGGGAGCACATTATTACAGTTTTGACTTACAAAATTAGCTTTTACATAGCTGCCATCGTCCACATGTGTCCAGTGAAGGTTGTCAGTTAATAATGACCTTTATAATAGTATTCCCTCTAAGTTCTACCCTCTTTGTCAGTGATATTGTGCATAATCCACTGATGGGGTGGGTGGGACTTAAACAGAACATGTCACAATTTATCTTTCAACACCAACACAAGCAGGGCCGGCTCTGGTTTTCAGGTTCTTCTCTGTGGTTTGTAGAAAGAGGAACTAAGTCCAAGATCTGTTTCTTCTCCCAGATTAAAGCTACATAGTTTATAACAACAGTTTATCTCTGTATGTTTTGGCTCGCAAAATCATATTTCACAAAAATAACAACCAAACCTGGTAAATCACACCCATAGTTGCCAGACTGAAATAGACCTTCTGGGCTCCTATCCGCACCCAAATAATCCAACAACTCGGCATGTTTTTGTCTTTTAGAGAAAGGCAAAAACCATCCAACATACTGCAACAGGCCAACTACAACAATGAGGAAAAAGCCAAGAAAAACAACAGTCGACCATTAATCATCAAGCAAGATCTTCTCTATCGCACTAAAAATGGTAAACAAACCAGTGAGGACCACTTACACAGGGAGTCCTGTTTGTTAGCTATTTATAACCTGTGGCCTTTGCAGTTAGATTGTGTTTGTGTGTGTTGTGAGCATGTGGGGGGTTGGGGGTGTTTGGCACATGGCAGTGCCAGTAAGAGACTCCTGGTTGAGACATGGCACAGGCACTTAACTCCTCTCTTTCGCAACTCCAAAACCCCCTCTGACACCTCATATTTTTCTGTTGAATTCCCCCGTTTACTGATTTAAACGCCATGTAAGAATGCCCTCCTTTCCATCTCTACATCCTAATATAGACCACAATCTGAATATGAAGAGTTATGACCCAGAAAGTAATTGTTGTCTTCTGTGTTTTCCCTAAAAAAAAACAAAAAAAAAAAACAAACAAACAAACAACCGAATGTCCCGACTCATCATAATAAATGGATGTTCTTTTATCACTTCAGCCATTACTGACCCACTCACCAGCCACCAGTTCCCCCTGCAGCAGTTGGGAGTTAATGGACACAAGTGCCTGCAGGAGATGTGGTTACTCACGGTTCTGTGCAGAGCGAGTATCCATGCATGTATGTGCAGATTTATACCTTGTGGTGGCGTTACACTGCTGACCCAGATCTGATGGATTCCTGCTCTGTTCAGCGTGAACTGTGCCTCAGCGTGAGCAACAGATGTGGGTCAGTCAATCCCATGGTGACTCAGAGAACCAGAGGTGGTGCTTATAAATGTTAACCAGAAGCAGTCAATTATTATATCTGTTAGTTTTTTGTGAAAGAAGCTCTAGGAGGAGTCAAATGAATAATAAAGTTTAGAAAGGCCTTCTAAAAGTTGGTAAATTAGAGGATAATCAAAGATAAGCTGATGGAAAAGCAGCGTTTTGTCTATTTTTCCATTATCTTGACAATGATTTTGTACTGTGCAGGAATCTCTGATCAGTCCATAACAAAATTACTTCATAACTGTTTTGCTCTAAATTGACTGTGGGAAATTACAGTAATTATCATTCACTGCAATTGTTGTTTACAAGGATCTTTTTCTGTTGTAGTTTAGGAGTTGGTTGAAATAAAAGCCTACGCTCAAAGTACACTTTGGATCTCAAAGTGAAGGTAAGAGAAACCATGAAAATGACAGCCAGCCAGGGTTAGGTTTGGATAATTTGTGAGGATCTCAACCCCACCACCTCTTTGACGGGTGTACCGGAGGATGACGGACCTCAGGACTTTCAGGAGGGACTACATCACCCAGCTGGCTTTGAAATGGAGATTTCCCAGGAGCCAGGGGTAGAGGATAAAAGGAAAAAGTGACAGCAAAAGTGACGGACAGATGAAGAAAGGATTATTCAATGACTTTAAAAGAAAGTTATCCACAGATCAGGATTGGAGGCCTACAACGTCACTGGATTTCCCTAACAGTGACGACCATCACAAGTTACCAGCCCTGAAGACTTACAGCTGCATCATCATGTCAGTATCAGCAGATAACCAGGGTTTGGTCTCACTAAAGGGCACATCACTGTTGTAAATGTTCTTTTCCGTCCCGAGTTAACTACCGGCAGATAAACTGTAGGTTTTATCTCCTGATTAAAATCTCTGATTAGACTTCAGTGTTTTGGTTTCTATCCAAGATTACAAATTACATCCCTTGTGCAATTTTTGCCGACAGACTTTTTCTTTTTTTAAACCTGCAACTCACACTGTCACAAATCTATCCCCGAGTCCAGAGTCAGACCCTTAACTGTGATTGCAATCAACAAAGGCAGCGGGAGTCTCTGGGTCTCTCAGAGTACAAGAACTCTCTAACACCACTACAAGTCTGACATTAACAAGACAAGAGCAACGGACAAAACAGGCTCCGAGCACCTAACACACAGATCACAGCAGACACAACAGAGACACATGACAGATAAAACCAGCACACTAACAAGCTTATACCTCACTACAATGTTTCTCTTTACTTTTTCTATTAGTGGAAACATGTTCGAAGAGGTTATCGTCCCAAGAAGACCTCATTTACTGCAAACAGCAGTGAGCATTGTCCTGATTTGAATGTGTGGGAACTCAGAGGAGGAAGCTTGTTAGAATTGATTTGATCTGCTCCAGCCAACGACTGGAATTCATGAACCACTATTTGTCAAAAGTGGTCAAACTGGTCAGCCCCAGGAGGCACCACAAGAACCTTTATTGTCACTTAAAGATCCTTCAAATGACAAAATGAATGCATGACAAACCATTGTGTACCTGCCCACCTTTGTATAGTAGTATTTACACAGTAGACAGTATTTTTTAGAAGTACAGCCTCATATATGTTAAGTTTGCTGGTCTCTATTCACATATCACAACATGATTTAGATGTCGTTTGTCAGCCAGTAGATGAAACAATCTCAAATGATGTATAATGCAGTTAAAACTGTTATGTTTCTGTATTTTACTACACTTGCAAATATTTCATGTGTTGAACTTACTCCTTAAACTACTAACGTTAATCAATGAATCAACCATGAGTGAAAACAAACTCTTGCACAATTTGAGGAACAGGCAAACTTCTGGAAGCTACCATCAACAGGCCAATCACAAGGTGGAGGAAACACAGCGATCAGATCAACAGAAACACTCAGAGCCCAACGACAATGTTTGAGAATGTATTGCCAGAGAGCATGCGGATATTATCATAATACGTTGCATAACATGTGGAAACGCCTCTAAAAATAGTCTAACTTTAATATTAGACTGGTAACGGCAGTCTCATATTGCCAGACCTTCACGGAGTTACGTTTGAACTGGCTGGTGACAGAAAGATAGATCTTTATATGTATGATCCTTTCCAACGGATGTATCCCCACGTTGCTGAGTCTCCTCTATGCGACAGGAGACGGTGACGGTTACCCACATTTCAGCAAAGTAAAGCCGCATCGACGCATAACGTACACCGCTCATGTCTCCCGAAGGAGGGCTTACCTGTTTTAAAAGGACGTGTGTGCTCCAGGGGGCCTCTCTTCTGTCGCTATTCCCCGCTTTCTTCTCCTGGAGTACGGCTCAGTAACCGCAGCCGTTGGTTGCTGGTGGTGTAGCGTCGGGAACTGATATCGACCAGCCCCACTGTGGTACTGGTGCCTTCACGTACTGTCGGATATCGCAAATGCCACGTAAATGCACAAAGTCAGGACCGACTGGCCGTTGGACGGGTTGTCTATATGGAAATTTGATAACATGCACATTTATTTGGCAGTATGAGCCACTAATGCACAGTAACAACACCCTAAGAATCAAACTACTCCTGACCGGTAATGGTCGCTTTGCTGCCATCAGTGTCTGTATGAATGGGTGAATGAGAGGCAAATTGTAAATAAAAGTGCGATAAGAAACCAGGTCCAACAACCCTGAAATATCTCCTGTAGTTTTACTTAATCTTGGGTCTCGTCATGTTGATGGGCCCTGTGTCAAACTCTATTCTTAATGCCTTTAATACTTTTGGTTGATATTGTGTTTACGTTGTGCATATTCTTTAACAAATGAGCGTTAATCAATTCATCACAAACTAACAAAGGTGTTCAAGGCACCATAGGAAATCTTAGTTGCATGTTTGCTTGACACAAAATTCTCTCTGTTGCAACTGAATCATCACAAGCACATTGATGACATCGTGTTTCAAATGAAGAAGCCAAATGTTCAAAACTATGTAACTATGTAGGGAGATTCTGTTGGTAATTTACAATTACCAATGAGAAATAAAGTTTTAAAACATTGAGGCTACATACAATGAAGTTGCTTAAATATCTATTGCATGTGTACCATATTATTACTGTTACAGCACCAGTGAAGACACAGCATCTGGAAAGTTCTAGTACTTCTAAAATACTAGTATTATAGAAGAACTCTGGTCTTGTGGCCCTCCCTGAAATCTTCTCTTGTCCAAAGGCTGGTGAGGCTGTTGCAACAGTGAAAGAGGCTCAGGGTTACATTCTTTTGTGAATGCTTGTATGGTGTTGCCTCAGATATCATTAGAGTTAGAATGTTATATTTCCTCTATTTTGTTGCTATTGTGCTCTTGCACTGGAGAGCAAAATAAAAATAAAATGGTCTTCAAACTTTTATTCTTAAGTAGATTTATTTTGTCATTGTTTCACAACCCATTATAACATATATTTAAAAAAAAATGAAACTGAAACTTAAAGGATCTAGTCAATTTCAACATTGAGGCTATTAAACGCATTTTTACTCCCAGTAGCTCACGACAGAGGTTTTTCACAAAGGGCACTTGAAGGCACCATGTCTTTGAGTGTCGACAGCAGCGCCGTCTCGCCGACCCTGCTCGCGCATCCATGATGACACTCAACAGAACCTGCGAACAGATGACTGTCTTTACTGTTCACATGTGCATTGGACATGAACGGAGGCACGAGACTGTCCTGCACCTCGGATATTCTTAAAAAGCCCCCAAAAATATATTTATTTATCGGATCTTCTGCCTCGCAGGTGCAGGAACCACGACCAGGCTTCCTGCGCCATCTGTCGTGTAGAGTGTGCGGAACAGGTGACCTATGACTATTATAATTACTAGCTTGGAAAATACTGTGGAAGACCATCCCTGCCTTTTACACAAGGAACAATATGAATACCTGGGAAAGAGGTTTCTATATCTTAAAAATGTAAGTAGGCCTATATCTTTTAGTATTCGCCTTAATAGACCTTTCTCACAGATGAACCTTTGACACATTGAAGTAGAAAAAGCACAGATTGGCTATTACGAATACTACCATTTAAGCTTACAGCTCCAGGGTCCTAATGTTGTATATGCTGGCTCACTGGCACGGCTTGCTGGGACATTTGAATGATGAAAAGTCGTCATTAATGAGATGTTACACCTCAGATTTTCATACTCTGACAACATAACTGCTGTGAAACTCTCTCTCATAATCAGATCTCATAATTCAACTAAAACTTTAAACACTAACATGCAATACGGTCTGCCTTTGCAGAGGGTTTACAGGAAACTTTTAAATGTTCTGTATTCCTGCAAAAAAACTGGGCAGGAAGCAGAAGATCCGGGTAAAAAAATAAAAAGATACAAATCTGTAGGATGAACTCATCATAACCCAAAGAAACAGAACTTAGCAGTGCAGGTTATTGCAGTTTTGAACCGAACTGAGGCTGAAATTATACAGACTGGCATTGATTTTAAATGGAAAATGAAGGTCATTCTTGCCGTTAAAGCCGACTGGCGCTCCTGCCAGCAAAGATCGGACCCAATGAAAATGACAGATGGCTATTAATTATCCTGGACATTATGGCCCGTCAGTATCTAATTAGACTCATTGAGCAGGAGGAATCACAGCGATGGATATCATGCACGGGTCATTTTTTATCATACAGTCGATAGCTTTCTCCAAACGTATTCAAATAGACTTTTATATGCTTTTCTTTGATAATTACGACTGCGGGCTGCAATTCACCTCACACATTGATGAATGCAGAAGGTTGAAATTCAAACTATAATCATTCTCGAATATAAACTGAAGCAGCACAACTAATGACGAGGTTGCTGCTTGCATGCAAATGATTGAAAGGTTGGCCCACTCCCTTTTCATGTCTGGACAGGCACAACACACTCTCATATCGCTGCACTGTCACACACAATGTGTGCTGCTACCCTCAATGAATGATCCTACATGTTTGCCTTAAACCTCTTTGAGCATGTTTCCATATTCATAATCAGTTTTTTTCTGCTGCAACAAGGCAGCCAAAGTGTATTAATGATGCGTTTTAGAAATGTCTCCAGAGGGGTCACCGGCACAATGAGATGTAGTTTGTTCCATTTAATTTATTAGAAGGCAGAATAATGTGCCTGATTTTACATTAAGTGTCCCGCAGATGTACAAAAATATAAACGTTTAAGATGTTCTTCGTGCAGTACCGCTGGTTGACCACCAGATGGTAGTCTATTATAACAAATAACCTGAAAAAGGGCGCCATACCTCCTCTATCTGATGCAGTACCTGCAGCTATGACTGACATTCTGTTTCCTGATTTGTCCATTGAAGACCGAATCAGGTGTGATTAACTTCTCAGATATGCTTCCATGTTGGGCACACACTGATCTGATGTAATGCTCACACACCAGGCATGCACAGTTGATGGCACCTTTGGAGTAATCTCGTGCAAAGTAGGCTACAATCCACAATCAACCTCAAGTGATGTTTGATGTTTCCTTACTCTGCACGAAGATAAACAAGCCTAAAAGCTTCAATTAGCTCTTAAAAGGCCGACGAGAAAGCTAAAGTATATTACGCACTGAGGATGATTCATAACACCCTGCATTAACTTTGTCAGTTATAATCCATCACAAGGTAATAGTCCTAAATAAATCTCATAGTAATTGAGATGAATCCCTCATTTCAATGACAAGTCTGGTTTTTAAGACCCAATTATCACTTTGAGTTCCCTGGCCCAGCGGACGCGAGGGGTTCGGGCTCCGAGAGGAGAAGAGGGCGGGGGGCAGTAAAGTTGGCTGTTTCCGCAGGGAGGAGAGGATGGAGAGATGGACTCGGTCCAAAGAGGGATGGATCTCTTACTGGGCTGTACTGCATCAGAGGGCAGGTGGATTTATGGCGAACGCACACAATCTTAATTTGTGCTCAGCCCGATAATGCATCTCAAGGCCAGAATAATTCTGCTCAGTGTTTCTTAACTGGATGTTTCTTTAATTATATGTCAGAGGCCATAAAACTCAGGAGGAGATTTTCCCACAAAGCACTGTTTTATGTCTTGGTCATTACTGTAAATTACAAGCAACAAGAAAAGATACTTACGGAAGGAAAAATGCAAAAAGAAAAGTGGGTTTATTTCCATACACTCCCCTTTTCCCCCTGTTGGTACACTGATGATGTGTGACGTCGTTGTTGCTCCCTAAGAGCACATTTCAAGACGCCAACCGGGGAAGAGATTGTTCACCTTTAAGCGAGCATGTATGACAACACGAGGCCTCCATTCGTCACACAAAAGGAAAGAAAAACAAACCTGTACAAATACGGAATAAATGAATAATACAAGAGTAGTTGTAAACATATACATATTCACAAATCCATAACTCATATAGTATTTCCCCCCAAAATTTAGTCCAGCAATATGAGCCATTTCCACACTTGGGATGGCGTGTGCACGCGTGTTACGGTATGTTTATCGGACACGGCGGTTATCACTCGAAATAATAATCGTAGGAGAAATCGCAAAAACTTGTTTCGATGACCTCTGCATGAAAATACACGATGGCTGTACACAAAAGCTCCTCCACCCCTGCAGCCCTTGGCACACCACAAGGTGGCTTTAGAGTCCCCTCTGTCGTTATATTGCCATTTTATGTGATGCCACTTAATCTTTGGTGAAAAATACCCTTACACAAGAGAGAGCAAGTTGCTACTCTTGTTTTCTATTTAAATTCAACCCCCATCTCTGTTCTTCTATTCTGACGAGTGATTAAACATTTAAATTACTTAAAAGCAACAAGGATTTAAAAAAAAAAAAAAAAAAAAAAAAGGCTTCCTACCCTGCTTCATCCTTGCACCCCTTTTGCTTCAGTCTGCGGGTGATCATTTCCTCACCCTCGGCTTGGCACGCACACACTCATACACACACACAAACACAGTAAATCAGGAGGGTCAGTGCATCATTTGTTTCCCTACTCTCTTCTTTTTTTTTTTTTTGTTTTTTGTAACTCTGAATGGAGTCTTTTTCTCCCAAGCCATTTCTGTGGCGACGGGTCCATGGATACAGGGACAGAGGAGCCCCCCCCCCTCCTCCTCCTCCTCCTCCTCCTCAGCTCAGCTCGAACCCGGCAGACGACTCGATGGCGTACAGCAGCTTGTTCCTCATCAGGTGCTGGTCGCAGAACTCCGGGAGTTTGAGCAGGTTCATGCAGGTGCTGGCGGTGGGCAGGCGCTCCAGGTCGTCGCCGCCGTTGTGGATGCAGAAGGCCGGGTAGAGCTCCTGTGTGCACAACGTAAGCCGTTAATGAGCACCCGGACAAATTGGCTGCAGTCACAGAGAAACTCGAGGCAAATAATGAGACGAGAATCTACTCGTGTCCGTGATGATCGCCACGTCCAAAGCAATCTGGATTAAGCAATAAATGTCAACTTCCACAAGGG